TTTTTTGATATGGAATTCAAGACCTGTTGACAGCGTAACAAAAAGGACTATTTAGATGTCACAAACTGAACTGAGTTATGGTAATAGTTGTTGAAAGAATAAGTTGGTAGCACCTTGCAACGGCGAGCTTCTGCAGGTTACACGAGTTCCGCAGGTAAGGCTCCAGTCCCATGAAGTCGTCATTCATAATGATACTTTATCTGTTTCTAAATACAAGTTTTTTTAGAGGTTTTAATTAATGTGAGCTACATACGGAGCAAAATAAGTGAATTCATACTTTAAAATACGCCTATATACATCAATATGTAGTTTATACTGAAATTTCTAAAAAGGCTTATATTGTAATACATGCCCCCGCACCATCTCTGTTGTGTGTCAGGAGACGATGTGGAGGAAGTCTTCCGGATGAGTGAGGAGAAGGATGTGAAGGAAAGTGATGGACATGAAAGGAAATAGGGGTTCGAAATGAGTTGGGAGTGAGAAGGATGTCAAAAAACGCTCTTATATTATATTATGAAACGGAAGGGGTAGTTGTTTACTCCCTCCGTCCCATAATATAAAAAAAAATTGACACTACACATTATCAGGCAGAGGCAGTAGTTGGCTTAATTAATTATGTGTCGAACATCTTTATTTCTCCTGAGATATCTGTGTTGAAGATCTGGCAACATGTCTTCTCAAGCATTCGATGACGAAATTAATTGGTTGATGACGGTGCACCAACGATACGTACGAACCTTTGCTGGGGACTTGCTGAATGGGTACAGCTAGCACACCACATCTATCAATCAATCAATTCATTTACTCCATCGATCGACAATATAATGAGATAACGATGATGGATTGGTCCCTCGCAAAAACAAAAACGATGATGGGCTGGTATTTTAGAGAGAGATTCATGCTATAGCCCGAGATTTTAAATCCACCACAAATCCAAGATCATGCATTACCGGCGATCTGAACTAACGCACAACGATCTGCTAGATTGTGGTAAGCAGAAACTTGTTTCTTGTGGGACGAGGATTTGGAGCTCTCGGGTGCTCCGCACCCCCGTACGAACATTTTGTTCAAAAAGAATACCGGGATTTTTTTAAAAAATCTGAAATTTTGGGATATCAAACCTGGGTTTTCAATCTACCCTCGCATGAAATTTCACTAAAAAGTATCAGGAAACGTATTCGTGGCAAAAAGGACAAAAGAATTCTATGTATAGAAAAACACTGTTTGGATGGATTTTTGTTCAGACAGTATTTCCTTCCCTACGGATATGTTTTTTGATATTTATTCACAAAATTTCACACTGGAGTAGATCGGGGACCCAGGTTTGGTACCCCCAAAATTCAGATTTTTATTTTGATATTTTCTGGTATTTTTTAAGATTAATTTTCGTATAGGGGTGTGGAGCACCCACGACCAAGAGCTCCTGTGTATTTTCCATTCTTGTGCAGATATAATATGATGCACATATATAACAACCGACCCTCCGGCTCATGCTTTGAACTTTCATTCAATGTACAAACGATCGACCAATTTACAATATTAACACTGCAATTACGTACTGTTCTAAATCATGCCCAAGCAGCAGCAGCAGCCGCCGCCATGATTGCAACAACGGTGATGATCTACCCTTCCAACTTCTTTTCTCTATCTTTACTTTCATTTAAGGAATCAGCTCCTCTGACCAAAGACCACTTCTTTTTTACACGAACGCGCAAGAAATACCGCATATTGTCTGGTTCCTCGCACATATTCTTTTGGACATTGGTCACAACATACACAGAAAATAAAAAGAGCAGAGGCAGAGCTGCTGAAAATGACAAGAGCCTCCCCATCGATCCCTAACGCCGCTTCTTTCCTCGTCCTGGCTCACCGAGTTAACTGATAAAACAACAAGGCCGATTCAGGGATGTTGCATAGCTGAACTCCACAAGAAGCAAAAGAAACCGCATGCCCCATGCTGTGCTGTTCAAACGGCCTGTGTTGCGCCACAAGATGTCTTCAGTGAATTCATAGCCTTCCTGCAATGTTCCCAACACCGATTATAGATCAGAACCATTATGGTTTTGGCAAAATTAGGCTTAGAATTTCAATGCTTGACTGAATTGTTCAACAAATGTATGTTTGCAATGTATAAATCTTCTCCTTCGATCATGTATGTAGATCACGATCAGAATCGCTCTAGATTCAGATATGACAATTTATGGGTGGGTGGGATGGGTTCTTTGAAAAGGGGGGGCTTCGTCGTCAGCTGTAACGTACCACAACGCAGACTCGATCTCAGGACTCCCTGGGTCCAACTTGGCTGCATCCAGAAAAGCATCGCATGCACCTCCATAGTCCTGATGATGATACAGTATAAGGTTAAAAATGATGAACAGCATGTGGCGACAGTCATCAATAACAAACTAGACAACCAGATAGATATCTTCGATCACACCTTCAATAACATGAGTGCTTCACCCTGCCGGTAGCAGGCGTTTGGCCAGCCAGGCCTCATTTCTCTGCACGCAAGTGCATCCTGCAAAGCTTCATGTCCATCACCCAGGCAGAGCCAGCAAAAGCTCCTGTCCGACAACAAGGTGGCATCATGACGGTCATACTCCATTGCCTGCATGCACCCAACAGGTTGAACGCAAACTTAGGACATGTCTGATCTGACTATAAAATCAATAATCATACCTTGCTTGTAAATATTTGTACTTCAAAAGGCAAGAAAGAAAACCTTGAATTTCTGATGATTTAGAACTTAAAAATGCACTAGTCTTGACAATATAGTCAATTCAAGTGCTTCTAAGCAAAGGATGTGTGGCAACAATCCCAGCTTTCCAACCTCATCATTTACTCCATTATGTTTTTCTCGCCCATGATTCGAAGTGGGGGAGAATCCCGAAAAAAGGGAATCATGGTCAGGCAACCATTGCTGCTTATCTATACTACTATATAGTGTACGAGTTTCGAATGGATCTAGAGCATCAATCCTGATCGTTGGTACCCTCAATCTAACGGTTGGGGGCAGTGGGATTCGCATCAACAGGAGCTGCCTCCAAACCTATGGCTGCTATTTCTAGGATTCACTATGTGACCCACCACCATCTGACCCTGTCATCTGACCACGCTCTAGATATTTCCACTATGAGGTGGACTACACACTTGCTCCTCTAAATTATTTTAGTCCTACCTGGCTACATGTTCACAAGAGACAGTACTGACCAGTAGAACTATCTCAGGAAAGCGTGCATGCGAGCCTAGAATTGCAATATTTTCCATTTTCTTTTATTTGAAACAAGTAGTAAGGTACCTAGGAAAAATAGAATGAGAACAAAAATGTGCAAAGAACCTATGAAATAGTACGTTTTGACACCTTTTATTTTCTTAGCTGACATGGTATTGAGAAGCTCAAAATTTATTATTAATTGTACTTCTTCTTTTCACTTCATTTTTCTCAAAAAATTCGAGTGAGTCCAATAAACTAACGGACTTCATAAACATATATTTTTATATAAAAAGGGCGAAGACTCTTATCTTATGTTTCCTAAAGAAAATCATTGTACTATGTTTCTTGGGGGAATAGTTGTTATGCATTCCTTGCAAAGCCCAAAAATGATACCAAAAATGCCTACTGGATATCTCCCATTTGAAGCTTCTATGAGAAATTTACCATAATATGTCTGCTTTAGTTTTATAATTAATTTAGTACCATGCATATACATAATAAGCTGACGTGCAAAGCACGTACAAATTACTAGTGTTGTTAAGCATCTCCAGAAAGAGAGAAGCTGAAGGATCCTAGCGCAGGAAGTGATGACAGCGGCTGTGATAGTCAGTTCCATCCAGGAGGATGTTTCGATCCTCGAGTCTGCCCATCCTACGGTGCTGCGGTGCTTAGTTTAGCTTCCCTGTGTAAGTCTTTCGCGTTTTTCTCTGTTTTACAGTTGTGCTGCATTTATTTCCCTCTTCTATAATGCAAAAGAAGAGCTACAGTCGTTCCCCATCAAAACAGGAAACCAACAACAGTTCTACTGCTGTTTAAGGACACAGAAGTCCTTGTCAGGTCCCCATGATCAAACTTACATACGGCATTGGCAATAAAATTATCTTCAATAAATTAAACAGAGATGTGTCTCGAAGCAAAGCGTGAGGCCAACTGTACTTATTGGTCACAAAGATGATCACTCTCTCTAAAGGGAGCGTGTATGACAAGAATAATGTGAAACCAGATCATGATCACCAACATTTATTCAAGCAACTTCAGCTGATGAGATACAGTTCAAGATTACACATTGAAAAATAGGGTGTAGTAGCATACCGCGCTGTACAGTGTTGCCGCAGTAAAATAATCGTTTCTCTTGAGAGACTCAACCCCAAGTAACTTAAACTGTTCTATTGTTCTTACATTTGAATGTGCACCCTACATGACCAAGAAAACAAATGAATCGAGACTTAGGAATGCAAGTATAAAACAGTACCTATACTATTAAAATTTTAAAAATCAATAGGCACTAGTTGGGTGGCAGGGTGGTGTTTGGTGCTTGGATGGTGCAGCCACTTTTGGAAACAGTGTGTAATATTGTGCCACAAAAAATTAGCAGACCAGTCATGTTTCAGTTCAGAAACATCTTGATCCTCATCTTGCTCCTGATAGTACAAGGCTAGATTGCACCCACCGGTACAGACACGTGTATCAGTATCAAGGCAATACGGGTACGTAAATACGTCATTTCTGAGAAGTGCCAATTCAGAGATACGTTGGACTATTTTCAAAATAATATAAAACATATGTTATCAACTAAGCATCAAGCCATTTAGCATATATTTAGTCAGTGTAGTCCATTATCTTCTATCTTCTTATCCATGATTCCAACAAAAGCAAGAACCAACAGCCAAAGGGTAGTAGCAGTTTATCAAACATCAAAGTTAGTTAGAGAGAAAGGGAGGAGGAAATCAACAGCCTTCAATTAGATAGAATTCTTCAGGATAATGGAGGGGAGGGGAGGGGAGCAGGAGCACTGGAGAAGGAGCCTACCACCTGCACTACTGGTGCCTGAGAGGTAACAGGGATGTATTGGGAAAGACAGTATCGGATACGCTGGTTGCTGGAAGTATCAGTGTTTTCTTGGTACAAGGAAATGTTTATTTCCAGAACTCATGACATCTCCTATCATCTGACCAGTA